CTGTGCCTTCTTCAGACTGGGATGACCCCAGTCTTGGGAAGACACAGGAGCTTTTCTCTGGGCTCCACTTCTCCTGATCCATACGAGGACTTAAACCAGGAGAAAGTGTATAGATATTCTTCCTGATCCAATTTAACCCTCGTTGTTCCTAGGCTGTTTTTCTTTTGGATCAGCCATTTTTGCTCCAGGAGAAATATTTTGAACGTCTCTATGCTTTTGTTTTCTATCAGGAGAGTGGTAATTTATCTGGTAGAAACTGAGCATCTGTACATCAGCTTAGTCTCTTGCAGAGCAGTGGAGTGTGATTTTTTTTTTTTTTCCCCAGACTTCTTTAGACTCCAAGGCTTTTTGGTGCTGGAACCTGTTAAATTTTCTTATCTAGCAACTGAATCTGAATTTCTTATAGCTGTCTCAGGGTACCTATCAGATGAGCCTTTCTGAGTTTGCTTTTTTCCATACTTATTACGAGGGATCCTGGTTTTCTCTGATTAAAAAATCACAAATTCTCTGACAAAAAATTGCAAGTTCTCTGACAAACTCCAAAATCCATTATTAAAATTAACCCTCCCCTGCAGCACCCCCAGCCCTGCTGGTGCCCCTCAGTGCCCCCACAACAGCCCCTCCTGCCCTACTCATGCCTCTTGCCCCCCCCCACAGCCCCTTCTCCCCAGGCCTGCCAGAGGGGTCCCCAGCTGCCAGGGCTATGAGGCCAGGGATGCAAATCTACAGATCCCTGCCCCCAACAGGTGGGGCCAGCTCCTGGCTCCCCCCAGCCATGACCTGCAACCCCCAGCCCTGCCGGACGGGTTCCCAGCCCCCTGTAAGCCCCATTTACCTCCCAGGCTCCAGGAGAAGAGTGAGGCTGAACTGAGCCGAGTGAAGCCGTGGATGACTGAGAGTCTGAGGCCCCGCCCTCCCTTAGAGCTCAACTAGCCTGCAGAGCTGTTTGCAAAAGCAGGGAATCCGTGGGTTTCTATGCTAAAAGGAGAAATCCGCGTTTTCTCTGATAAAAAGGGGAAATCCATGGTTTTCTCCGTTTTCCCATGGGAAATGGAAAACCCAGATCCCTGCTTATCACTCTACATTTTTCTAGACTTATGGCATGGCCATTTTGTTCTGTGAGACTGGCAGTGTATTGACTGACTAGTTGGAATTACAAAGGCATACCTCACCACTTTTATAGTGCTTGATAGATTCTCTTCACAAATATAGGAAGATGGTTTAGTAGCTCATACTACTAGTAGTTTCTATTTCTGTTGCTGTAATTCTGCATTAAAAAGTTAGTAAGGGAGGAAAAAGGCAAAACTATGGTTATAGTTTTAAAACCAGTGCAGAAGGTTTGTAGATCATTTTAGATCAAAGGAGTGATCTTAATTACCAGTAGTTCTTCCCAGTTTATTCTTGATTTTGGAGGTGGTTCCATTTTCATTTTCAGGTGTGCTTTGAGAAATGAGGTATTACCACACATGTTTGTGTTAGAGAAAAAAAACCTTGACTCTGCTCTTTTCTGTAATTGTTTCCATCCTCTGGGCAAAACTAAGAGTTTTTCTTGTATTTCTAAGAACATCCAGGCCAGGAGAACTAAATCAAAGATAAGACTAAATTTGAGCAAAAAATTACTGTGCTTTTAGCTGCATTATCATTTAATGTTTCCTTTTAAATGTAAAAGAACAAATGCCATGAGTTTTAGACTCCTCTAAAATCTGTTTTGTTTGAATGGAAAATAGAATTGTTCCTTTTTTCCTCAAAATTTAATCATGCCTACATTGCCCTTAAGATCTACAATCTGTTGCAAATGACGTTTACCACACTATTGCATTTAAAGGAACTTATGGTCAAGATTTTCCTAAGTGACCTGGAATTGTTTTTGGTACCTAACTAGAAACACCTTGTTGAAGTTTTCTAAGAAATGGGTTCTGAGCATTTTGTGAAAATTGGCTCCCTTCAAATATCTCCATCTAAACACCCAAAATTTCATGTCAGTTTTTAATAATTTTGGGCTCATCCTTTATTTTATAGTAAATTAGCTTTAAGTAACAATGATCTGACTAATTTCTCTTATCCTGGTCTGCATCAGTTGCTCACATTAAATCTAGTAATGGTAGTAATAAATCTTTATACTTAAAGAAGAGGAGGGAAATGAAAAGTAAACCGCAGTGAAGATCTCTAGAATCAAGCAAAATAATTCATGCCTTTTTCTGATGGGCATGTCTCTTTAAAAAAAAAAAAATAGGAAATCATTAAATCATGGCAATATGTTTCCTCAGGCCAGCTATATTATCAGACATGAACATCTCTGAATAGGAAACAGGCTAAAATCCAGGTCTTGTCTGTTAGATCTGACTAGGCAATCTTTGTGGATGTTGTTTTTCCTAGAGCCAGGAAGTATTTTATTTTTAAGTTCTGCAAGTCAGAGGTCAGAACCCATTCTTCTTTGAATACTTGTAAGGTACAGTGAGGAATAATTAATTCAAAAAGGGAAACAAAGTAAGTTTGAGATATTTCCCTTATTTCAGGAGCAGTTCTTCATTAGGCAGATTCTTTTTTAAATATCACCTACATGTGCTTTTGGCGAACACGTTATTTTCTCCTCTCCTTGCTTTGTCCTTTAGCTATTGAATTTGTATTTGAAATAATTTTAACTGTGCGATCATGAGTTAGAATTCTTTCCCACTCAAAACATTATTTTGATGAGTTGTCATTAATTTTCTGTCAATCCTTTAAAGAGAAGATAGAAGCCTTGATCATTTTGTTTGTAAAGGAAGCATATTTTAAAACAAAAACTTCAGTCTGTCAGAGAATGACTTGGTCCTGCCCTTTCATTGTCTGTATTGCTTAAGAGTTCAAATTTCAATTTTTCATGAGTCCTGGACATTATTTTTGGCAGTGCATGGAAAATAGTGTCTGTGCATAATCTTGTCATTTTTATCATTGGTTAGCCTGATATTGTTGAAGTTGATACTGTAATGGAAGCTAAAGAAAGAAGACATATTTCTATAACCTGGATGTGTCCTGATTGATGAAAATTTCATTAAAGAACTTTGCAACAGTAATGATTCATAATAAGCTGTATACTTTTTGTTTGTTTACGTGGTTTTTAAATCATCCTTCTCTCAGGTTCTGTAAGCACTCAGATTTTTGTAGAATTGTAAATAATAGTCCAAAAATGCAAGAGAATAAATTTACTTCTGTTTAAATGGGTATCATCTTTGGTTTATTTGGGTGAAACATGCCATGTTTTCAAGGAAACCTGAGGTTCTTTAATTGAAAAAACTTAAACCTGTTTATTATCCTCAGGTGGCAGTCCTCCAAACAGACATTTCTTAAAAACCAATGCTGTGGTTTTCAAAAGAGCATTAAGCTTTCAATCCCACTGAATTT